GAGGTGATTATATCAGAGTTAGGACTAGAAGGTCCACAGAGCTAGGACCAGGGGGTCCATAGAGTTAGGGCCCAAGGGCCCACCAGAGTTATGGCCTTGAGTGGCTAATATGTGCTATATGTGGTATTTTTGGGAACTCAATAAGCTTTGTGCTTACAGTGTTTTGCGGTATGTGTTTCAGGTAATACTAAGGATCACGGGAAGGCGCCGGTATGATCAGTACACACACACGCGGAGTTTTATTTATATGTTATGATCTTGGGATTTTTGACCAATGTTGAATATATGAACCAATGCGTTTTATAATATTAAGAATTAACTTGTTTTTAAAATGCAAAAAGTTGTTTGAAATTTTATGGCGTTTCATATGGGCTTGGACTTATCGGGACCTAGATTTGGGCCATTGGAATGGAATTGTGTATTAAGCCCAATCACACCAGATGACTTATTTAGTAAAGTTATGGACTTAATGGATTAAGTCCTTAATGGGTTAAGTAAGAAACACTTAACCCTAATTGTCATTTTATGTGAAACCCTAATTTCACTTGGACTTTGTGTTGGGCCTTTCTATCGGGATTTGGCGATTGGACTATTAATGGGCTTTCCAAGAATAATAAAATGGACTAAATAATTATATGTGTTTTAGGACAAGGCCCGTGTGAGGACTTGGGCCCAATTTCGAAAATTAGGCCATAGATGGGCCATAATTGGACCTTTATGATTATGTGATATTGTGCCATGGGAATTGGATTGGAATAATTAGATGGGCCTTAAGGTAAGACCATGTAGAGGTCTGGGCCCAAATTGGAAAATTGGGCCATATGTTGGGCTTTGGCCCATTACTTGACTTTTGGGTTTTTGCAGTGTGAGTTGGACCTTGGGCTTGGAACCCAATTATTAATTGGGTATTGTTTGATGTTGATAGTTCGGGGATCTGTCAACCAGTAGTTGGAGTTTTATCTGCGGGACTTCAGCAGTGCCAAGTGAGTTTTCCTCACTATACTCAAGAGTCTAAAACACCAAGACCGGCCCCTTTGAATTGTTATTGATTATGTTATGCTAGTATGAACTGTTAGATCGATATCGTAGAGGGTAGGATGATAATATTTGATATATGGTATGAGCTGTTAGTTAGACCTCCTAGAGGGTATGATAATATTATATGTTATGTGGTATGATCCAGTAGATCAGTTTGTTGTCTATAGACTGTTATGTGATTATCTGTTATATGTGCACATGTTTGTTTATTGGTTGAGGTTTATCTACTTTGTGCGAAAGCCAATAGATCTGGGCATTCCAACCTGTTGGTTGTGGCCCTGGTGTATTCCATCCCGATGATGACTAGACTCATAGTATGTGGGCATTTCAACCTGTTGGTTGTGGGCTTGGAGTATTCCATCTCGAGGATGATTGGACCCATAGTAGATTATCTGTTATATGTACACATGTTTGTTTATTGGTTCAGGCTTATCTGCTTTATGCGAAATCCAATAGACCTGGGCATTCCAACCTGTTTGTTTGTGGGCCTGGGGTATTCCAACCTGATGGTTGATTGGACCTATAGTATGTTGTTGATGGTTATATTTGTATTGTGTGAGTATGAGTATTTTGGGGGAACTCACTAAGCTTTCGGGCTTACAGTTTCAGTTTATTGTTTCAGGTACACCCGGGGGATCGCGGCAAGGCAAAAGTGTGATAGTACAACTCATCACATTTTGTTTATGTTTCTGGGAAAACTTTGATAAAGACTACTTTTAAAACAAAGATTTGTAATAACTCTTAGATTTTAAATGTGTTGAAAAGTTAAAATTCGGTTTAATTTTATGGGTGTTACACATCAACTTATGCATTCGTATATTCACTTTAATTCACTTCTGTGATCGCATTTTTGTGATGCAACTCCCGAAACTTCAGAAATAGCATCGTACTTCATTTAATTGCAAATCTAGAAAAATTGCCATATATGCGATCACATATCCTATTTCTTCAATTGCAAAGTCTGTTATCTTGGTCCAGAAGCTTTTGTCTTGCGTATATATACGTCCCTCGTGATCAGATTTGAATGTTAGACGGTTCTAGACGACAAAAAACACTTCTTAAGGCGATTTTTGATACCTTTCAGAGATTTCTAAAGATCTGAAGGTTGTGAATCATCTCCTACACTTAGTTTATAAGATTAATCAGTTGATTTTTTTATTAGTTTAGATTCGTTTTTAGCCATATGTGGCTAAAACCCTAGTTTTTAGTTCTACATTAGACTAGTATTTTTCATGTGATCACTTATCATATTTGGTTTTCTTTATGTGCTTCTATCTAGTCGTTTCAGTGTTGAAATTAATGAACATTTTATTTTTAATTCTTGTTAGTCTGATCACCTATCTTGGGTTTGATCATTCCAGTTAATTAGTTAATAGAATTCGTAATTGTTCTTGTCAACTGGTAATAAGTTATTAGCTTAGTTCCGTGTTTGGGATTTAGCTGTGATATAAATATAAATTTCAAATCTTTACGCTTCCGAGCTTGTGAGAAGTATTGGATATTACTGAGAATTTTACATAGATCTTAATGCAACTTTTCTGATCTTAATTAACAGCTTATTTAATTAGATAGTAAAAAGTTAGTGTTAACTGAAGAGCTTGTTTTAGTTAATTTAACTAGGTTCTCAATACCAACTTAGATAGAACGCATTCTGAGTAACAATATTTGGACTGATTGCATGATTAGAAAAGTCACAGCATAACTGAAATAGTTTTTATTAATGAATTTTATTTAGTTTATTTTCATTCCAATTTTAGTTTTATTTAATAATCAAAAACCGTTTTTTATGATTTTTTTTGTTTTGACAAGAATGTGTCTTTCGCAAAAAAACAATGACTTTTAGGTTGTGTTCCTGAAGATTCAACCCTGCTTCACTATGCTATATTTTTAGTGCTACTAGCAATGAAATTTTATTTGTTTAAATCGTGCGCGACAACAGTTTAACACTTGACATGTTTAGTCCCTGTGAACTTTTTTTGGTTCTTACCTTGGCAAGTTTAGTTCATGTCAACTTTTTTTTTCATTTAATTGGCAATTTCAGCCCCTGACAATTATTTCTATATCAATTTAAGTCTTTGCAATTTTTTTTGGTTCTTCCCTCTATTTTCTAAAGTTTCATGTTTAACCTCCATAGTTTATATAGTATGATTTTCTATAATTATCACCAATCAACTCTGTCAAATGTCACTTTGACCACCCTCAACTTTGAACTTTTTAAAATATCACTTTCATCCCCTTGATTTTTTCTAAACTTTCGTGTTTACTCCATCCACCAACAGTTTTATCGTTGGTATCAATCTTGTATATTTATCTATCAACAAATTCAACGATACCTAACTTTTATAAATGCAATCATCAAAATTCAATTTACAAAACGTATTGGTGTCGCCACAACATGCAGTGGGCAAAATACTAGTTCTAATATAATTATAAACATTCTTAATACACTAATAAATCATTAAAAAATATATATTGAAAATAAAAATAATATACATATAAATACAAAGTTATCTTTGGATTTTATTTTAATAATCAAAACCGAAATAATAATTCGATTCTGGTTCAAATAAATCCAAATACCTTCTCTCTGAGTAATACAATACAATCCATATTATCCAATTAGATATTTTATTTTATTACAATAGTGATTGATCCTAACTATTTCTTTTTTGTGTTGATAAAAGAGAACAAACGTTTTTATAGATACAATGTTCCTAATATATAATGTTTTTTTTTAAATAAATACAATGACTGAACTTAAGTAGATGACTATTTTAGCCTATTTTTAAATTTTAACAAATAACAAATGGTTGTTTATTTAAAAACCATTACAAATTAAAACAATATATTTTCATATTAATTCTTTAAATTTTTTAAAAGAATAACATAATTAGTAACTTATATTTAGCATAATTTTCAAATAAGTTCAAATAATAAAATTAAATTTAAACAATTAATAGTTACATATATAATAGAAAAACAAAAATAACAAGCACATGATATTCATATTATATTATATTTATACATATAATAGTTAATAACCTAACGTATAAACATTAAAATATATTCAATTACTTATAATTTTCGATATAAATATTTATTTCACCGAAGAAAAGTAGTGGCAACTTAAGAAACTTCATATGAAATCATTATTTAATATTTTAATATTAATAGAAACTGATTCGTACATAATAATTTATGTTTTATAAAATTATACAATACAACATTTTAAAACACAAATTTAGAAAAAAATTGTTGTGTAGTAATCATCTTACATATGTAATAACACTTATTTCATAACTTACCTTATTAAGACCTTTTATTAGTATCAAGTAAAAAAAATAAACGATTTATCGTGAAACCATTAATTTGTGTTATGCATTAACTCCTGATTGCGACACTTGCCGGTTTACAAGTACACGACTTTAAAATCTAATTTCAACAAGAGAAGTCTCTTTAAATATGGTTAGATTTAGCAGGATAAGTTTATTCATATTAATCCATATTTAAATGGGTGAATGCGTGTTTGAATTTTTGTACGAATAAAAGGATACATGTAAACAACACCATCACAAATATTCATTTGAGCTCAAACGTCAGAAAATATTGACATGATATGTTTCTTATAACGTTTATGAATTAAAAAATGTTGAAAACATTATATGACCTATGTCCCGATTATTTCTTACACATGTTTAGCCTAAAATCACCTGTGCGTGGCATCTCTTAAAAAGTCAAACTGTTCATAATAGATCCATAAAATCAACAGCTGTTATACTCGAATTCGAATGTGTCGACGAATCATCAAAATATAATATTTAAAAATAACTGTAATCAGAATTGAAGAATGGTTGAAAGCTTGATTTGATCAAATAAGTATAATCGAAATCAGTTATCTACAATCCAGTCACAGATGAACAACAACAACAACAACAAGATCGTTGTACAAATTTCTAGTCAATTTAACACAAATTACTCCGATTACTATCAAAATCATCGATATAATCATAACCATAGGTTAAATCACCTCCACATTCATTTAAAATCTCAATAGCAAGTTCTAATTGATCTTTCAGATACCTATCTAACAAACTAAAATTCGATTTTACCTGGATTCCGCCTTCTACATCGTTCTCACGCCGCCGTGGCGGCGGAAGCGACGGCGGCAGTGGATTTTGAGGAGGAGCCGGTTTCGACCGACGCCGGCGGCGGCAGAGACGGACGAACACCTCAGCGGCGCAAAGGAAGGGAAACATAGCGCAAATGAAAGGGATAAGTAAAGGAGAACAGAGAAGGAGAATCAGGTAACGTAACCTGTGACCACTGAGCCACGATTGTAGAATTAAAGCCATCGCCGCCGTCGGATTGTGTACCTCGTCGCCGGCGGCGGCTGTATCATAATCGTTATCCTTGATGATCACCAAGGGTCTCCGACGATCGTTTTCGGACTTTACTTGGGGTTTACTTGACCCGAAAAACAAGAAACAATTGCGCATGATCCGATTAGACGACCGATTTGGGGGTTGCTTCAAGCATAGTGAAATTGATTACAGAGGGAAGTTATTGAGAGTGTGTGAGACACCCTTTTATTTCAAGGGCTCCAAAGGGTAAATTGGGATACAGACACAACGTACAACAGCCAATGCGCAATTTACAATTTCTTAATGCAAGTTTTAGGGAATTGTATGAATTAGGTTAGTTCGTTTCATAATTCCATAGTATTAAAATGTAACAAATGGACAAAAACATATATTATTTTTTATGAAATAGAATTGTTATGAAAAGTATGATAACAACATATTTATTTTCATTTAAGTTCTTTATTCTGATAACACATGGCATTAACTAATTTCATGATTTATGTATATTTGAAAGGTAGAAGAGAAAGTGAGAAAAAAATATATTCTGATTTGTTTCATTTAAATAATGTTCAAAAGGTATATTTTTTTCAGTCACGATATCATCATTTTAATTTAGTACAACAATGGCAAACTATTTATATAATATATTAGTTAAAAGATAATAAATTAAAACGTTCGTCCTTAAATATTTGTATAAATAAATTTTTAATTTTTTTTAAATTAATACAGTTTGTTATAGTTTAATATTGATATAATATGCTGACTTTTAACTAAAAGGTTAAATAACACATGACCCACTAAAATCCCTCTTAGCTAAAATATTTTACAAATGCTTTCGTCTCGTTGTATTCAACTAAACTTATTTAATTTTAAATTCAATGATGATTCTCAGTAACCTAAAATATTCGTTTCTAGTGAAATAACTTGAAAAATGTGAACTGGGTCCATATGTTTTGCCATTTTTTTTTTTTTTTTTTTTTTGTTACAACCGTACTTTTTTTTTTTTGAACAACTGAAAGTCTCATATATTAACATTAACAGAATTAGCAAATCGCTAGAAAATAAACAATTACAAAAGGTTAAAAAGCCAAACAATTAAAAAAACATCGGGTTTGGAAGCTCGGAAATTTAACCAAGAAAAAGAGTCTAAAACAATACTATCAAACAAAGTACTTCCGATAATTTAAGTCTGATCAAACATCCAGAATTTCGGAATCTTCAAATTATCCAATACGTACATACGACTATTACTAGCAAAGACACCTTTTCTTTTGAGATGTTACTTGATCATCTACCCAAGAAACTCATTCTTTTTTTTAGAACGGCAAATTGATTAAGGAAAAACTAGCAAGGCGTTACAAATAAAAGTCAATTTACATGGAAGTAATAGACAAAATTGGATCTTATAATCAGGAATTGACATTTGTTTTACGACACCTATTACTAGCCCAAATGAAACTCTGAGACATCACCTTATCAAACAACAAACATTTTCTAGGTTTAACTTTTTTAAAACACCAAATCGACCATCAAAGAGTAAAGAAAACTGCCTCCAAAAAATATTGACAAATAGAAGATAAATGCAAAGTGCCAAACCAGTCAAACCAATCTTTGAATGAAAACAAAGTAGGTGTCTGAACATTCCACCAATTGCAAACAAATTTTACTAAATCTTTAGCCAAATCACACTTGAAGAACAAGTGGGTAGTAGTCTCAACTTCTCTCTCGCATATGGGGCTTACAATAGAATTTATCTCAATTCCTCTTTGCGATAAATTATACTGAGAAGGTAATTTGTTTTAAAAAAGATGCCAAAAACGACGACATTGAATTTAATAGGCGTAAGGCGACACCGTCTAGTCACTGTATTCGAGACAATAAGAAGCTTCTTATCAATTTCCAAACTTGCAGATCTGATAGAAAAATAACCAGAACCGTCAAGCGACCAACTCCACCTATCCATAGATGAAGAAAGTAAAACCGAGGACATCGAACCTGAAAAATTAGACCACTGCTCAACCTCACCCCCCCCCCCCCTCCCTTTTTTTCTCGTTTTTCGCCTGAATCATCTTCGTAGCAACATAGATTTGTTTTTCCATCTCAAGGGCATACAACCTATGTTAAGAGTTTTTTTAAAGGGTCATTACCAATCCATTGATCCTCCTAGAAAGCTGTGAGTTTGCCATCGCCAATCACCCTTATGCAGAAACACATAAGATCTACAGCTTTAGAGCATAAAGAATCAAAAGTCTTAATAATTGAAACCCAATTGGAGTTACCAATATTTCTTAAAGAAGAATGGCCGATTAACCCCTTTTCTCCATGAATAGCCTTGATCAGTATTAACTAGAGCGCATTTGGGAACAACAAAAATCGCTAAATCCATTTAAAGAAAAGAGCCCGGTTGAGAGCATAAAGACTATTAACACCGAGACCACCATATTACGTGGAAGCTAACACCTTCTTCTATTTAACCCACGTCATCTTGTGCTCTTCCAGATCCGCCCATAATAAAAATAGCATTATGAAATGATTTTAAACGATTGACAACAAACTTCGGGGCTATAAAAGTAGACGTAAAATATGTCGGGTTAGCACCCAAAACTGACTGGAGTAAACTAAGTCTTCCCCCAACTGAAAGGTTTTTGGCTTTCCATTGGGAAAGTTTACAGGTGACTTTTCGGATCACACCATCCTAAGAAGCAATACGAGACATGTTGTCACCCAGAATGAGTCCTAAATATGTAAAAGAAGCTTTTCTAGGAATATACCCAATAGAAGCCGCCGTATCCTCCACAACCGAGAATTGAGCTCTAAACCCCATCATATTACTCTTATACACATTAATCTTGAGGCCAAAATCAAGAAAAAAAATAGTGAAGGAGTCTGACAACATGTGGCACATTGGTTCGGGATCACTATCCAATAAATATAGCATCATTGGCATAGAACAAGTGAGAAAGGGTAACTTGGGTCGAATTGTCAATTTGAAGGCAAGAGAACATGCCAAGATCAATAGTTATATGAAAATAAATATGGAGAGAGTCCATGAAAAGAATGAAGAAAAAAAGAGAGAGAGGATCTCCTTGACGCATACCACAGTGAAATCGAAACTCATCAGAAGGAGCTCCTTTCACTAAGATAAATCCCATTAAATAAAATAAACATCCTCGAATCCAGCTTCTCCACTTAGAACCAAAACCAAATTTAGACAAAAGATCATCAAGGAAATCCCAACGAATCGAATCAAAAGCTTATTGAAAATCAACCTTGAAGACCATAGCCTGATGATTATGAGACTTAAACTAAGAGTGCACTTCATTAATAATCATAGGACCATCTAAAAATGGTCTACCTATACTGAAAGTAAACTGTTCAGGGCTTACAATATAATCAATAACCTTGGCAATTCTATTAGCTAATATTTTAGCAATAACTTTATATTGGTAATCGATTAAGCTAATATAACGAAAATCTCTAACTAGCTTCGCATCATGCACCTTTGGGACAAAGGTGATAAATGAAGGATTACACCCTTTAGGAAAAGTTCTTGAATTAAAGACTTCATGCACAACGTGAAATACATCTACTTCAACAAGATACTAACATTTTTTGAAGAATTCAAAAGTGAAGCCTTCAGGTCCGGGAGTTTTATTAGAACCACAATCCCAAACTGCTCTCTTTATCTCTTCCGAAGTAAGTACTACATCCAGTAAACTAACTTGATCAGGAAGCAAAACCCGAGGAAAATCATCATGTAAAGCGGGTTGAGACCAAGATGGTCTATCAAACCGGTCTCAAAATTAGGAAAGAAACTCCATGTTTACATTGAGAGAATTATCAATCCATACTCCATCCAACATAATACCCAGAATACCTTGTGTTCACGTTACCATCAACGGCCATGTTAAATGTAACGTAAAGCATAAACGAGATGTTATCTTGTCAGAACCTTAGCCAAGGCCCGTTCATGGCCTAAGTAATCCAACACCTGGGTGGAAGTTCTTTTCCCTTCACGAAGAAAGAATATTCCCTGTAATCTTCTAATTCGCTCACAACCAATCAGGACGTGACAAAAAGCTTAGGTGATGCCCAGAACTAACGTCACCAGGCAGTTAGTTAACATGGGCATAATTCTCCTAGTCAGAGGAGGCCACGTCTCACACTCATTGGACAAGATCCTCACATTCTGTTAGTAGTAGCTATAAAAGGATCTATTTCGTTTCAGGGATAGGATCCATCTTCTCCCTCACTAATTTTACCCTAAATTCTCTCTCTCAGAAAACTAACTTGATCGTCAAAGTGACGTCCTAGGAGAACACCCGGTCCTCCTTTAATGGTTCTTTTGTGTTGTGTTCTTATATTTTCCAACAAATACTTAAGAACTCCCCAACTTAAATGTCGAAACTTTTTAAAACCACTTGTATTATCAGGGAAATTAGTAGACAAGTATGAAAGGTTTTGGGCACTACATCATTCCTATGGTGTACATGCCAACCCTAATGCTTTGGATCTAGTTTGTCTAATGAACATGCAATTGAATCATCCAAATCCACAAAGCCTAGATCTATCATTCTATGAACTAAATTAAGGGATTAGAAATTACCTTTGATTGTTATGTAGTAATAACAATCTATTCCTCCTTGTAATTAGCTTCAGAAAGCTTAGTGCCTCAAGTGTTGCACCTCTAATGGAGTCACAATGTAACACCGAAAATTTCAAAACAAAATTTTCAAATTTTTATAAAACATAATTCATTTAATATTCATAAAACAACCATATTCGATTATCCCATTTAAGTAAATACAAAATCCCAAGATCACATATGTATAAACTCTGTGCGTGTGTACGGATCAAGTCGGCGCCTTCCCGCGGTCGTCACTAGTACCTGAA